ACTACTGTTCCAAGCCCAGAATATTGCCCTTGTCACAACCTCTACCTTCCAGATTACTTAGCATAGGTGCCGGCAATTGATGATATCTTATAAATACAGGTTTTGGCAATTGAGCTTTCGGCAACATATTGGGGCATCGACGTTGTTCTTCGAAAATGATATTGGACCTAGACCCGCAATATCCCCTGAGTGGATGGGAGTGAAGTACTGGAAGAATTTCAAGATAGAGCTACCTCCAAGGAACAATCATGACAATATCTCAGCGAAGCTTCCTAAGGTCCGTTAGACCCGTCCCAAGTCCCATTGTAAACCCCCACCATCTCCCTCTGATACTCCATCAGCCTGTCCCAGTTAATACAACTATGCACCACCCCCCATCCCAAGTTCCCCTTAGTATACTCCTCCGGGCTTCCCGGCGGCGAGTCGCTCTCCAGCGTCATGTAATCGGCACACATAATGCTTAACCTGAGATACTCGAAGCAATGCTCCAAGTGTTCCAGCCAGTCATCATCCACAAAAGAGCCCGAGAGAGCGTTGATTCCCTTGTACACGAGCTGATTGTATCGCTGCCGGGCGACATTAACGCAGTGGAGTTGGTGCATGGTGTTGAGGACGTAGAAGTTGTTGAGGTTGGTCAACGAGGCGGCGGAGGAAGGAGGGGTATTGAACATGAAAAAGGGGGCGCGGATGCCGGGGTCTTGGAGACCGTAGGCGGAGGGATCGGGGAGGTAGATGGAGTCGGAGCCTGTGTGCAAAGTTCTGGTTAGCCACGGTTTGTTGTCGTTTGATTCTGTTCAAAGCCCATGTGCACTTACCTATCGTTATCCGGTCCCAATTCCTGTCAGCTTCCTTTGATGGCCCAATGAACTCCTTGTGGGCGATGAAAGGGACATCTCGCCTGTCGGTAAAGATCTCTCGTGGCAAGGGCGTCTTGGGGTTGATGCCAAAGTCTTTCAACGTTGGCTCATTGGAGTTGGAGCTGCTTCTTGTGAGGTAGCAACCCGCTGCAATACCGACTGTGATGGAAAAGATGGCAATGGCTCCGCGGATAACATGTTCCCTCCACCGTGATTGTCGGCAAATTGGGCTATGGATGTCAAGGCTTTCGTCTGACTCTCGGCTGGAGTCTGGGTGCCCGTGTGCACTCAAAAGGCTTCCAGTTTCGTTCTCCGCCTGATGATGCTTCTCGGATGTCAAACCTTGGGAATACATGATGAGCGACCGCTGGGAACTTGACTGCTCCTGCCAAAGGGAAAGACCAGATGGTGCAGAGATGGAAGCTGGAAGAAGGCACAAACAACAGGCTGGAGGGGGTGCTCTTACCTCCCCTTCATCTCAACACCATCAGGACGGAAGTCGCCATTGTCGAGATCGAAGACCGGTAACTGCGATATCGCATCACCCTCCAAATCTTCACATGTAAGCAACGCCTCGCAACTTACACAACTTTTGTGACTCGCACAACCGACGCTGACGCTCACTGGGTTGTCAGTTCGACACCTTCCTGAAGCATTCACAACCAAAACCGGCTAAGAGATGCAATGTCAGAACGGGCCTATCGTACAAGGCAAAGGACGTACGGAACAAGTGATCGGAGGTGGAGTAGCAAGTGCGGAGATGCGCCGAAGATTCGGAGAATCCTTGTCACTAACCTCGCTTGGCCGGGGTAGCCCCGCACTGTTCCGGATGAGTGGGGCCCGGGCCGCTAACCGAACTGCGGGCCGTTTACGGAGGTCCCACCCAGTTTGCGGTTACTGTGCTCCACATTTTGTGTCTTTTGAGCGTCCATTGTCTTCTCGTTCTCGCTCCTCCAGATGTCTCCATGCATAGAGACGCATTACCATTCCAGCGGAGAACTGGATTGAGTGTGGCCTGATGCTAATGAACGAGATGTTACGTGCAGGAAGTGCCTATAGGACTGGCGTCCAGATCCCTCTTCGTCGAAGTGCCTTTGTACCCCTGTTTGTCGCATTCCGGTCATCGGCCTCCGGTGTAAGCGCACTGCACATGACTTCTGTTCTTGCCGTTGTACCGGCTTGACATGAAGATGACAGAGTCTGGATGTGCAACAGGATGACCTTTGTTGCCATGTCCAATGAATCCTGCGATACTTCACTCCATGCTTCCACATGAGCTCGTCGGACAGAAGGGCTCCGGGAAACTGGACGCTAACAATGCCGCGCTTACGAGCTTACAGCACCTAGCAGAGGTGCGATTTCGGTATTGACTTGGAATTTGACATGTGCTTTGAAACGAAAGTTGCTTGCATCTAGGAGATATCTCATCATGCTGGTCGGTTTGGTTGATTTGCGATGGCGATGTCTTGGTTGGAGAACGGGGAGTTTGGATATCCCCTTGCCTGACGTCCAGCTGCTAGTCTGCTGTCTTTCCCTTTCTTCCGCTCAAGCTCTGTCATATCAACCATCCAAGTCCAGCTGCACAACATCCAATTCACCACGACGATGCAGTCCAAAATCAAGTCCATCCTCGAGTGCGTTCGCTCACCAGACAGTCCGGATTATGGTCAGATTCGCTCAGAGGACGACGAAAAGCTTGAAGATGTCCAGCTCGATGCACCAATTCGAAACCATACAATCGCCAAAGAGCGGCGCAACAACCGCATCCTTCTCATAGCAGTATCCTTTCTCTGTCTGGGATGGCTCACGACAGTGGCATTCTGGTACAAGACTGCCCCAAGGAGTAATGGTCCTCTGCATGTCTACACCAACACTCCCATCCCGAAGGAGGTGTTTACTCCTGTGAAGAAAGTGTTTCAACCAGATGAGAGGTACATCGGTGGCACTCCGGATGTTGAGAGGGAATGGGATAAACTGGTAGCTGGTGAGTCTTTTCTCTGAAACGCAGAAAAAGTATTAAATGAGCGTGACTGACTGAGTTTAATAGGCCATGATGCTGTTTGGATTGAGAACCCCAAGAAATGGGGACTTCCTGAGGGCATCGTCGCCCCCTACGATCACCCAAATACTCCAGTCCCAAAACCACAAGACTTTTATGTCATATCCATTCTTCATCAGCTGCACTGTCTGGTGAGAATTTTTCTTTTTTCCAGTTCTACCACTCTTTCCCAAAAGCAAGCCTGACGAACCGTTCCTTCCTTCAGAACATGATCCGGTATCAATATTACGTCGAGAAAGCAAGAACCCTGAGTCCGAAATGACCATGCGAAAAAGGGATAATCTCGACCAGGAACTTGGACCGGACCCAGATGAAGAGTTCAAGTGGAAGGTCCACGTCGAGCACTGCTTCGAGTACCTGCGCCAAGGAATCTCTTGCGGCGGTGATCTGATCATTGAGGGCAACAGTCCCATCAAGGTTGGAAAGGGCCATGCTACCTCCGTCACGGGATGGGGTGTTGAGCATGACTGCATCGACTTTGACAAGTTGAGGCAGTTCCAGATTGAGCAGGAGGCCAAGTATAACATGACGTGGCAGAATCCGCAGTAGGACTGGAATCTAGTCCGTGTCAGTCAAATAGCAGCAGATAACAGTTTGAAATCGAGGAAGCTCACATGTCCGTGGACAAATACTTGATCAGGCGTGACAGTGTGATGCTGCAGGTCTCCTGCTCTCATAGATTCAGCTCCATGATCAGCGATCGGTGCGAAGGATAAACTTGACCTGATGAACAGAAACACGACCAAGATTGTGAGAAGAAACAAAGCACAAAGACACCGAAGGGTCAAAGGATTAAAATGTCACACAGAAGAAAGAACTTCAATTTGTTCCCATCAAAATCACCAACACCTTCCTTTTCTTAAACAGCAACAGCACCCACAGACTCCATGTCCTTCACCACCTCCCCCGCCGCCACCGCAGCCGGCGGCGCCTCCTTCGGCAGCCCATAAACACTAACATCCTCATTCATCCCCTTCTTAATCCACACCTGCCCAACTACATCCGGTCCAAAAACCAATAACTGCCTCAACCCGACATCCAAGAACCCCAAGCTTCTGAAAACCGCACCACTGGCTTTATTCGCCGGATCGTGAAGTCCCAAAATCTCCTTGACCCCCTGCTCCCGCTCAACATACTCCATCAATCCCTGAGCCGCCTCCTTCGTATATCCCTTCTTCATGTACTCGCTCAAAATCGCAAACCCAAGATCAGGAGCGGCATATGACCCCGGTTCATCACCGCGCATGAGGGAAACGGTGCCGATTGGCGTGGCGGATGCAAGATCAGAAGGGTTGGAAGAGTCGCGCAGAGAAAAGAGGTAAGTCCCGTAGCCATTGCGGGCGTGCTCGGCGCGGAAACGGCCCTCGAGCTGACGGCGCGCGAAGTCGCGGGTCGTGACGGGGGTTTTGCCGTTGTTGGCGATGAACTCGGGGGTGTTGTAGAGGGCTACGAGGAAGTCGCAGTGGGAGTCGAGGTCGGGTTGGAGGTAGGAGATGAGGAGACGGGGGGTCTCGATTTTAAAGGTGGGGTCTGACATTGTGGTTGGTGGTGGTGGTGGTGTAGTTCGGATGAGGTGCGTTTTGGGGGTTCTTTTCGTCTGATGTATGATTCAATGTGGTGATGTTTGAGATGGTAATTCTTGGAGGATGGATTACTTGGAGTTTTTTTGCTAGAAAACGTGAAGGGGCAGGAACATGTGAAGAAGGCAAGAGGAAGCGAGGACCCTGAAATACTTCCACGGCATGATACAATTCCAAATTTCCAGTGCAACACTGCATCCGACAATCTGGAAAGAATGCAGCGTTGGAGACATTTCAGTTGACGACTTTCCTCTTTGGGGGTAACACGGCGACCAACGCTGGGCGGTGCGCGCCTGCTAAACGTCCGCTGTAACCTCAGAAATTAGCACCAACGCGGGTGAGTCAGTGATGCCTGCTGAACGGTTACACCCCGAGCCATGATGGAGGCGAGGACCTTGCTGTTGAATAGGATCGTGTTTGGAGCGATTTGTCCGGGGAAAAGCTACAAGGGTTCAATCAAGAAGATCATGACTCAAGAATGAAAATTGGAATGGTGAAAATGGCGATGCAATGCATTGATGTTTCTTTTGGTGATTGTGGTGAGAACATTGAAAGTAAACAAAGCCCCTGAAAGTGCCCTAAACAATGCCCCTATTTCCACACCCCCTGAAGCATTTCAGTGACCACCATGGATATGCGGATGTGCACTCTCCAACATATTCCTGTCCGCCGGGGTATGAGTGACCTTCCCTGGGGGATATCCATCATCCTTCTTATCCGACCGATGCTTATACGCCCAAGCAAACATCTTGTCATAGCTCCGACACATGTGCGTTGCTCCAATGCCGTTAATGCCAACCTCCGTGAGTGGCTCAAAGGTCACATCGCCGGCGCACATAATGGCTTGCCGGATGTAGTCGATGCAGTGGTCGCGGTGGTAGACGACCTCGTCGGCAGGATAGTCCTTGATGGACTCCGGCTCGTAGGCGTACCGGACGAAGTTGAGACAGTGCAGCTGGTGGAACATGCTGATGCCATACACCTTGCTCGTCTTTGGGCTGTTGGGCGCGGGCAAGCTGGGAGGCAGATCGTAGGTGAGTTCGTTTGGGATTTCGACGATGCCGTCACCTGGGGGCATTAGGCGCTTCCAGGCATCGTTGGAGCTGTTGCTGACTCCGCCATAGAAGCCGTATGGCTGGAAGACCACGGGGGTATCAAAGACGACTACCAGCTTGTGCGTTAGCGATGCAATCTTGATGTTTGGGGACCGACAGAGTAAAACTCACGATCTGGCTCAAAGAAGTCCGGCTTCGAGCCACAGTTGAACTTCTTCAGCGAAGAGTTAACCCGAGCCCAAACGGAAACGCCGGCGATCAAGAGGAGAACGTTGGCAACAAGTGCACCAACATTCCAATTGAGCCACCTGCATCCCTTTGAGGCATGTCTTGGAAGGCCGTCTTCAGACATGAGCCCGTTTCGAAGGAGGTAGTGCTTGTCTTCGTCCATGATGGTGTCTGAAGATGATGAAGACTGTTCTCCAATAGAAGAGGGCATGTTGGGAACGGAAGGAGATGACATGGGATTTCTGATTCCTACATTTACTTCCACTTCTCAGGTCCAAGGTACCCTCATGATATTACACATTTCCCTCCATCGAGGGCCAAGCGATATGACACCGAGCAACTGAGTCGCGATGTTGCTGCCAAGGACTTTTGCCGTACAATGTATCGCGAACCCCAAAAAGGAAGCTTGAGGGGAAGCTGCAGCGCGAATGCGGGCAACTTTGAAAACACATGTTAGCGTCGTTATACCGCGAATCAGCTTCTGATGGCTTGTAAGCAATGCTTAAGCGCGAAATGGACCCCAGAAACAGACACCGTCTAGACGGCCAGGATCTCGTACTGTGCTGTCAGATCGCACTTGGCCATGTAAGTCGAGGTCCACGTTCCTGTTTTGGGGTGGCGTTACGATGCGTCGAACCAATCGAACATCGAGCCCTCCTCGTATCGCCATTCCGAAGTCGGAGACGGGCTTCCGGAAGGTTGTTGGAACATGTGATGGTCGACCAGCCGGAGCTACGGTCGGTGTGCTGACCGGAAACGGCCCCGGTGACAGACTCGGCGCTCTCAGCTCCGGGGAACTGAGGGGGAGGGTGGACCGGGGAAAGGAAAGACAGGTGAGCTGCATGACACTACTGTATTACTCCAGCCAACTCAGATCCATGTAACCAGATCCAAAGGGTTTGGTATCATTGACACGGCAGTTAACTCCAGGTAAGCAACGTTGTGGGTTGGAGTCACCTCCATGTAAAGCTTGTCGTACCTTGACCGTGGCACTTTAGCTTGACACTGTTTCCGATCTAGATCATATTCTGACGAGGATCACTCCCGGAGCTGACCGGAAGTACGTCCGACAACGCAGACCTTGGCTCTATGCCAGGTAATTCTTGTCTCGATACCAAGCCGATAGTGTTCCTTTACCCCGCGAAGACCATTATCAGGAGCTTGAGATGGCAACGGGATTTGACTGATGCAAAGGGTTATGGAGAATGCAGAGCCACAAGCCCAAATTTCTATGTTGACGGTCGTTCATCACCTTCCTCTTCTGGTGCCGGAGCAAAGGCGGGAGACCTTTGTTTACGGCATGGACGGTATCGGACAAGTTAGTATCGGCATTGCCAATGCCTGACAGAGCGAGCGTCGAGGACCGTAAGACGACCAGGAGTAAGACGCCATCAATCCGGTGCTAGCAGCCAGTAAGCAGCAATGTCATGAGCCCCTGTGGACTGTGGTACTCTCAGTTCCTGAGCAACATTGGGCGGAAAAGGTTGGTGAAGCGTGGGGGAAGGACCAACTTGTCAACATACGATATAAGGCAGTCCAGTCTCGATGTCTCGAGTGAAAAGCATACCTTCATCAGTTAGCAGACTCCAATCGTCTACTTCTCTTTGCAACCCATCCCTCCAACACACCATGAAGACCACCGCCTCCATCACCCTCGGGGCTCTGCTCCTCCCTCTTCTCGCCTCCGCTGCCGCCATCCCCGCCTCCACCCAAGCTGAGCCCGCCTACGTATGGGCTTCCCGCGGCAGCATCAAGGCCCGTGAGCCTGAGGCTGCCAACACTCAAGCCGAGCCCGCTTATGTCTGGGCTTCCCGGGGGTCCATCAAAGCCCGTGAGGCCGAAGCCGAGGCGGAGGCTGCCCAAGCTGAGCCTGCCTACGTCTGGGCCTCGCGCGGCAGCACCAAGCGTGAAGCTGCCCCCGCCGACAAGGCCGCTGAGCCTACCTATGTCTGGGCTTCTCGCGGTTCCATCAAGGCTCGCGAGGCCGAGGCCGCCAATAGCCAGGCTGAGCCCGCTTACGTCTGGGCTTCCCGCGGCAGCACCAAGCGCAAAGCTGAACTCGCAGACAAGGCGGCTGAGCCTGCTTACGTCTGGGCCTCTCGTGGCTCTATCAAGGCCCGCGAGCCCGAAGCTGCCAAAGCCGAGCCTGCCACTGCCGAGCCTGCGTACGTGTGGGCATCCAGAGGCAGCATGAAGGCCCGCGAGGCCGAAGCCGCCAACAGCCAGGCTGAGCCCGCCTACGTCTGGGCCTCCCGGGGAAGCACCAAGCGCGAAGCTGAACCCGAAGCTGCTCCCATCGACAGCCCCAAGCCAGCATTTGTTTGGGGTTCTCGCGCCTCGAGCAAGCGTGAAGCAGAGGCTAGTGCTGCCGAACCGGCCTATGTTTGGGGGTCGAGGGGACCTTCTAACAAGCGCGAAGCTTCGCCAGAGGCTGCTCAAGCTGAGCCTGCGTATGTTTGGGGAAGCCAGGGCACTAGAAAGTAGAACCAGACTCTTTGCGATAAGTCGATGATGGTATGATGTTATGATATGAAAGTTATACATCGGCTATAAGGGATCGGACGACAGGTTTGTCGGTTGACGCGAGATATCGGTCGGGGACATCATTCGATTCTCGGCCGAGGACTTGAAAGGATCTGCGCTGGGACATGGATGTTAGCCAGGGCCTATAGCATATCTGTACCAAATAACAAAGGACGGTTATTTCTCCAACTTGATCAACAGGCATTCACGGATTGAAGAACTGATTATGAACTGTTTCCTTGGGCAGTCGGGGTCTCGGCTGGAACAAAGGCGCTTGGAGTTGGGCACCGCTGAAGTTGAGTGGTGATAGAGGGGACGAAGAGAATGTCCGGGTCCAATGCTCACCGTAAGTTCTAGGCATTTTGCATGCGCTCGACGCTGTCGGACCAGGCGCGACACAGTTGCTTCCATTGTTGTTGATGTCTTGGGGAATGTTGGGCCAGCTCCGTGTTATCCAGCCCAACTGTTTATCCGGTTGGCAGACCTCCAGTCTGTGCGCGCTTGAAGGCCCGCCTGGCATCGCGAGGACGTTGACTGCCGTATTTGTAGAAGCCACTTGGAAATTACGTCATACGGGAAATACTGCGTTTTTGTCAGCCGTGCATTATCCATCTGGTCGCGCCTGCTGCCGCTCATCGTCCAATGTCTTTACCCCTGGCCCATTGCTATGGCTGTTGTCCAGATCTCCGCCCCTGACCCAAAATCCGCAGACACGACCTATGGAAGACACTCGACGGGATCTCCACCACCAGATATCCAAACAAGCCCATCATCAAAATCCAGGCAGAGACGTCAGTCAGAGCTCCAGGATTCAAATCGCATCCAATTTGGAAAGACCATCCTGAGGCTTGACCGATGGAACTTGCTGCTTCCCGCTGCCGTCAACCCACAGTCTGGACTGCGTTGCCCGTCTGGAACGTCAGACCACGGCCACGGACTCAACAGCACATGGTCTGAATAGTTGCCACCGACATGATGTCGAAGTGTGTCCGCGCAATTCCCGCTCGAGTATCTCGGTCTCTCTTCGCCCCGAGCCGGGAGCAAGCGACACTCGGAGCGTGAACGCGACTCAAAGCAGAAAGAGTCGAGTGGCTTCCTTGCAACAAGTTCTTCCTGTGAACTAGGAACTAACATCAAAAGGTCAATTGATCATGATGGCTGGATTCAGATGTTTGTTGGGAATCCCTGGGAAATTTGCGAATGACGGCGGTCGTCCAGCGACAAAGAACGTACCCAAACCTTCCCCCCTTGATAATCGCATCACTTGGCCGGCAGTTGACACCACACCCTTCCCAAACCAACTCCTCGGGCCGATTACCAGATAATCCTCATGCCTGCCACAGATGAATGTCGAGGATCGTATTTCTGCGTGTTGCGATGCTGTCGAAACGGATCTCCAACGACGCGTACATCGCACACATTTTTTCGCTAGGAGCAATTCACCATCACGGCCCTGCGTGAGGCATGGCTCCCCTGAACGTGTCTGATTCATAAATGAAGAGCGGAATAACTTGCTCGTCCTTTCCGCACTCATTCCCTCCTAGGTATCCGGAAACCAACGGCTGACGCCTCTTAACATTTCCCCTCTCCAGCCTCAGCTGAGGCCTTCGGGCCACGCCGAGCCCGCAGCTAAGGTGCCGCATCAGTATTGTGGTGGCGGCGGCGACTTCCAGCTTCTAGATCAAGCAGTTGGGATCGTGAGTGTGCCCCTCGTCAAAGGAGCACCGTTGTTTCGCCATTGTTCGGGTGCCTGTTGATCTCACTTCCAAGGCGCGAATGAGAGTACTGTGCAGCGGCGAGTCTGGATCGGGCAGGTCCCAGATGCACAATTGCACATTGGAATTTCCTTATCTTGTTCAATCTCCAAGCCATTGCAAGCCAATTCCTCACAATTCCCAGATTTTCCCACGGAATCAGCGCGGAGATGTAACCACACAACACACACAACCCCGTACTATCGCAACTGAACTGCCAGAAACAGCCTAGCTCCGGCACTGCTAGACACTGCTAAACCGTCAATCCTGGTTTCCACCATGTGGTTTTTGGGGGAAAACCCCACGCGGTTGACTGTACTTTGCAGCCACTGATCGGGAAGCAATGCATGGAAGTGACTCGGCAATCGTTCTCCCACCACGATGCAGCTGAGTCCAATGGATCCAATAGCTTACCGTTGACTACTGGAAAGAGGAAGGTGTATGGGAATGGTGTCAGCGTAGCCGCCCAGAAGAGACACTATCGCGTTCTCACCTTTGCATGAATGGACAAACAAGCAACGAACGAACGCGGGGTCGATGGATGGAGGACCAAGGAACGCCTCGGCGGGCATACCGACAATGAAAGAGCTGGGCGTGCGATACTGTACGTGGATATCGAGCATCGTGGGCCATGAACCACGAGGGATATAAGATGGCATTGCTGCGTTCTTCATCCGGTTGTCGGGTTCTTGTGTGCTCGAGTCGTTGTCCATCGCAAACATTCATCCGACATCATGCGTGCCTCGGCCCTCTTCACCCTCCTCGCCAGCTCGGCCGGCCTCGTCGCCGCCGTCCCTCCTGCCGGTGCCGCCAAGGCTGCTGGTCTTCGTCTCATCAAGACCTCCCCTGAGGACAAGGGCACCTGGGTGACCGAGGAGCAGAAGATCACCCAGTACCGCAACAACCGCATCGGCTTTGTCGACATCACCGACATCACCGTGAGTTCCATCCCACGTCCACAACCCCAACCCACCCTGAATCCAGGACTCTGCTGACCGCAACCAGGACGCCTCGGTCCTCACTGCCCTCTCCAACCCTGACGGTGCTCCTGCCAAGTCCGACTTCTCGGCCCAGGCCATCACCTATCCCACCGCCGTCTCTCACCAGACCCAGGTCAACTCCCTTCTCTCCCAGGTGTCGACCACCAACCCCAAGTCGTGGCTGCAAACCCTCACCAACTTCTACAACCGGTACTACAAGTCCACCTACGGCACACAGGCCGGCACCTGGCTGTATGACACCGTCGTCTCGGTTGCCTCGGCCAACTCGGCCATCACCGTGACCAAGTTCACCCACTCGTGGAACCAGCCCTCCATCATCGCCAAGATCCCCGGTACCAGCAGCAACCTGGTTATCGTGAGCGCCCACTATGACTCGACCGGCGGCTCGTCCACCGCACGTGGACCTGGCGCCGACGACAACGGCTCCGGCATCGTCGTCGTCCTCGAGGCTCTCCGCGTTCTCGCCAACGCCAAGTTCGCTCCCAAGGACACGCTCGAGTTCCACTTCTACTCTGCCGAAGAGGGTGGTCTCCTTGGCTCTGCTGCCGTCTTCTCCAGCTACAAGTCCGCTGGTAAGAGCGTGTATGCCGTCATGAACCAGGACATGGCTGGATACTCGCCCAGCGGCAAGGTCTCCATCTATACCGACTATGTCGACACCTCGTTGACTGCCTACACCCGCGTCATTGCGACTGCTTATACCGGCGCCACGACTAGCGATAAGTGCGGTTATGGATGCTCGGATCATGCGTCGGCCAGGTCTAACGGTTTCCGTAAGTTGTTGACTCCTGGACTTGGAGAAGAACTGAATGACTGACCTGTGATTTCCAGCTGCCGCCTATGTCTGCGATGAGCCCATGGATACCGCCACTCCTTACCTCCACTCTTCCAACGATGTGAGTATTACCAGTCTTGATAACCCGCCCTGTGATCATTGGCCGCAGTCTGCTGCTAACCTCTTGTGCTCACGTAAACAGGCTTACTCCACCATCATGTGGGATGCCGTCCTCCGCCATGCCAAGTTCACGACTGCCTTCCTTGTTGAGGCTTCCTACCTGTGAAGGGTTGCGTGATGTCATTTTTCTGTTTTCTGTTTCATTTTTGACGAGGCTACGATCATGTTCGCATGCGAGGAGGTTGACTGTCATGCCGGGAGATCCACGGCAGGCACGACGGGGGTCCAATGACCCATGAATGTGAGGGGTGAAGTGTTTATAGGGTGTTGAAAGTAGGTCGCGGATAGCTCCGAAACCCAGGCGAACAATTTGTTGACACATCGAGATGAGAAACGCAAATTTGGCGCACAACATGTGAAAGAGATAACTCACCCTTCCTTTCTTACTGCAATGACATCAATCTCAAAGTCAGCAGAACTCCTCTCCGTGGAGATAATGATGGGAAGCGCAGAATCACACCACGATACATGACGGCACATGGCCGCACACGACCAGCGGCTACAAGCCATCTCTCACTGTCCCACACTTCGGAGTCCGGCTTTACTGTCCAACAATTGTTGCTCGGCGCACCGAAATAGAAACGCCGAAGCCCTGATCCTCTCTTGCCCATAGCGGGCAGTCATCCACCGGTTGCCCGGCGGACCCCGATTGCCATGGTTCTCGGTGTGGACGCTACAATCAAAGGCACCTGTCAAACATGAGAAACTTGCAAAGACAACCGCCAAAGGCCAAGCCTCTCAAACCGCGACGTGCCCAGAAACTGGTGAGCGAATAAGCCTAAATCACCCCATCATGATCCGCGGCTACGCCTGAAGCCAAGGTCTTGGTTGATGCCTGTGAGCTAATGCTCGCCGCTGATAAGCATTCTTGGCCGTGATCTTAATCCTAACTTTAAACGCGACCCGTGGCAGAGGCTGTGACGGTTGGCCGGCCCCCTTTGCTCCTGAAAACACCTCTGCTTGTGCGCCTTTCAGGGAGACGTCAACAAGCAAAGATGAGGGCGTTTGCCAAGCTCAGGGCGTCGTTCTCAAATTACATAGTAGATCAGCCGCCGCAGGGTGGACATGCTTTAACAGGAGGCATCGCGGCCCCGTGGTGATCATTGCTTTCTTCGAACTCGTCCAAGAACGGTAAGCGTCGTAATGTTCTCAAAAGTCATTTAAAACTCCCTTGCTTCCCACCTGGGTTCACAACGTTGGCGGCCGAAGATAGTGGAATGAGTTGTTGATCAGTCCACGGGTCATCCCACCCGTTATCACTTTTGCACTTACCTTTTTCTCTTCTTTGAGTGGGCTGGCCCATATATATTCCTATTCCGAACACTTTGCCCCATCCATTTCATTGTCTCATAGCAACATTCCTCGTTATTTTCCTCATCAGAAATCTGTTGTCGACCCAGCGTCAACAGTCAGAGCTTGCCAGACAAGCGAAATCCTTGGACCTTTCATCGACTATTCAGACCAAAGATCCTGCAGCAGAACCCACAGTAGCCTGTTCGGTCCTTGGTTGTTGTGAGCAAGCGACCCATCATCACCTACCACGATGCCGAACATGGACGTCAGCGACCTTAACACGGTCATCGCTGTCCTCGGCGCCTTCATCATCATCTTCGGCATCATATCCGTCAAGATCAAAAGCCGCTGGTTCCTCGGTGAAGCGCTACCAGCCGTCCTCATCGGGATCATCCTCGGCCCTATATTAGCCAAATTCCTGGACAGTTTAAGATGGGGTTCTTCACCATCCCCTGAGCAAACATCGACGATCACCCTCGGTCTGACCCGCATCATGATCAGAGTCCAGCTAGTCATTGCGGGTTATCAGGTTCCGGCCAAGTATCAGCTCCTGCGCTGGAAGGAGATGGCCCTGTGTTTGCTCCCCATCATGACCGTCATGTGGCTTTGCACGACGCTGTGCATGTTGGCGACGGTGCCAGACCTCAGCCTCCTGTCGGCGCTGGTCATTGCTAGTTGTGTAACTTGCACAGACCCAATCCTCAGCCAGGCCATTGCCAAGGGCCCTTTCGCTGACAAGTTTGTGGCTCGTGATCTGCGCAAGATCATATCGAGCGAAGCCGGCGCCAACGATGGGTTTGGGTTCCCTTTCCTGATGTTGGCTGTGTACTTGATGAGGCATGCCAATAGTGATGGTTCTTCTGGTGGACATGGCGCGGAGGCGGCGGCTGAGGTCGTCGCTCGGAGTGCGGAAGGAGTGGGCAGGCTCGGTGGAGGGGTTGACGTCGCGATCGGAAACTGGGTGGTAGAGACGTGGCTGTAGATTGTACTTATGTCTCGCGATTGGTGCTCTAGTTGGGTTCGTGGCTGGAAAGGCTCTCAAGTTTGCTCTGCGCAGGTGTGTCTGGACTCGAGAAGCCACTCTTTCTGCCAGGACTCGGTGGTTAGACCATGTTCATCTTGCTGACACATGACAGGAAATGGGTTGACTCCGAGTCTTACCTCCTCTACCCTACCGCTCTAGGCCTCTTCCTTGTCAGCATCTGCGGCATGCTCGGCACCGACGACCTCCTCGCCTGTTTTGTCGCTGGCAACGCCATGAACTGGGACGGCGAGTTCCTCCGCGAGACCGAAGCGCGCCACGACGAGGTCAACTCTTGCATGGACGTCTTGCTCAACTTTGGCGGCTTCATGTACATCGGCACCGTTATGCCGTGGGACGAGTTCCACCGGCCTGACGTGGGGACGCCTGATCGGCCTGGGCTTCATGATCCTCCTCTTCCGCCGCATCCCAGCCATCCTCGGCATGTACAAGTTCATGCCCAACGTGTGCAAGAACTACAAGGAAGCCTTCTTCATGGGCTACTTCGGTCCCATTGGTGCTGGTGCGGTGTTCTACGTTGAGCACACCCGCCACTTGTACCCCGAGCTGGGCCATGGCGACGAGGAGGAAACCCACCTCGTGCGCGTCATGATTTCCGTTGTGTATGTCCTCGTCTTGTTCTCGATCGTGGTTCACGGACTGTCGATTCCGGGGCTCAACTTGATCTACAAGTTTTGCGGTGTCAAGCCGATTATGGACGATGCGGTCGTGGTGCGTCGCAAGTCGGTTCGGGTGCCGACGCCTGTCATCGCCGAGGTCAACGACAGCAAGACGTTTGTCGCGTACAACCGCTTCTCAAGGCCGGTATTCGAGCCGGGCGAGCTGCCAGTTGTCGAGGAGCGCTACGGCGGTGGCATATGCATCATGACGGCGGTCGGGCGGCGACGCCTGATTCGGTCGAGCTTGAGAAGGACAGAACTTCGCCCGGCAGTCAACGTGATTGCTCTATACGCTTCAGTCAGAACAGGTTCTAAATAGGTAGTGGAAAATAGAGGAGGCGTCCTTTTTCATTACGTACAGTTTAGCAAAGTGGGTGGCTTTTGCGAGTCGTAGAAACGTGTGTAGCCGTTGATTGCAACAAATCGCACGAAGGTTGTAAAAGAGGAGAATCGTTCCTCTGCTTCAGTCGAATTGGAGCTGCAAACAAGTGACAAGAAGTGACGCTGGGGTGTTGCCGCATGCTTCCCGGCAAATCCCGGCCAGCAAGTGTGCCTGGCAGGCTTGGCGGATATCTCGCCGACACCCCGACAGACAACATCCACATCGACCATGAACGTTCAGGGTTCGTGAATCACTGATACTCGGCGTGGGGAAAGTGGAGGAACCCTCAACCCAACGTCACCAACACGACCACCTCGATGACAATCCTCGGTTTGGTTTCCGCAACTTGATATCTAGCGGCATCAACTCTGGCTTGATATGCCGCCGCCCACGACAAGTGTCTCGGGCAGAGGTACCTAAGCATGATGCCCAACAGACATTGCAACCTGTTAAAGTCCTGTTCGATGTTGTGGTCTGCTTCACGCATCTCGTTCCACAGCGCATAGTCGCTCCGAATCTGTGAAACTTTGCTGACAATATCATTCAACCGGAGGCGAGCGGTTGCGGACCAAATAACGCCATTGAAGTCATTATCCATCTCGAAAGTTCGAAGACTTGAGAGTACGACCGAGTCAGACTGTCAGAGTAGCACCCGCTTTGCCAAGCTGGTGACAAGCCATCAGCCTTATAAGTGCAAAATGACCATTGGGCCTTGGCCTGTGTCAACTTTCCCTTTTCGGTTCACACATCTTTACCTCTATCAACAGAAGGATGCAACCGAACACCACAGTCAACGAAAACATAAGATGATCCAATGGGCTTCAATGACTTTGTTTGTCACATTCTTGGACATTGTCTAGACAGAGGATGTTTGCCGGCTTCGTCAGGACTCTTGAATGAGTTGAACGTTCTCGAACACTGGAAGTATGAGCGACCAGCCGAACAACAACCAAGGTGAATCATGGCCAATACGTTCAACATGAGATTTACGACTTGGAGAGACTAGATATAAAGGCAAGTTATTCCCAATAGCAGCCAAAGACTTTCAACCGTTCCAAACCTCCACAGCAATACCAAACTCGAAACATTACTCACACGAATACCCGTTCCAAGCCCCAGCTCCCAGACTTCTAACTCCAAGACTCCCGCCACCAGAACTGCGCCATTCCGGACCTCCCTTCCTTGGCCCAAGACACCATTGACAACCCGAATCTACTGCCATTGTCTACCTCCATGTCGCACCAGAACCCCCGATACCAAGGACGAGTCACTGTCCGGGGCCCCCCAATGCCTGCCGGTCTGGAAACAGCCGCCCACTATGTCGACGAGCAGCTCAAGCGTTGGAATGATGCTCACAAAGGCAAATACTCGCCAACAACTCTCAAGAAGCTGGAAGAGCTGGATGACCAGGTGCAAGACCTCTATGAGGCCAGATTGTTGCGTGGTGAAGTCAACCCTGGTGATGGTACCAAGATTCTTTGCATTCTGGCGCAGTTGAACGTAATGAGGGACTGCATGGATGAAGTTGACGACATGGAAAAGGAGTGGGTCTGGATTGAAACGTCTGATACAGACGGCTTACCTTTTGGTACGGCAAATGATCAACCTGTAGACATGGTAAAGGGTCTACCTCTGGACATGGCCAAAGGTCCAACCGAAGACACTGCCAAATCTCCGGCTGAAGACCTGGCCAAAGCTCCAGCTCAAGACACGCCCAAAGATCCACCTCAGGACGCAGCAAAGGGTTTGCCTCAAGACAGTGCGAAGGGTACACCTTTAGACACGGATACCGATGGTGAGTACGTGATTGTTGACGAGAACGAGGAGGAAGATGTGAACGGAAGGAAAGATCTTGGGGAGCAAGGCGTGCTTGCCACTCTGCAGAAGTACTTGAAGGCCTTGAAGGTTCATTAGGAACTTGCCAAAGTCTTCTCAAGTCAGATGGCTTTGGAATTGGGATCTATGACGGGAAAGGCAGGAAAGAAGGAAAATCCGCCGAAGGGAACATGAGGACAGGGGTGTGAAAGTGAAGACAGTGGATTGACCATGTCCTCAATGGGATCTATAGAAAGTAGCATGACTACCATGTTGTATCAGACCAGTCCTTTGGACCCCGTTTCATGATGGGCATAACAGAATCATGTTCCATTCAGGTATTTGCACCTGTCAACATTGCCGCCCAAGTTGTTTCCCCACCATTTCTTTGCAGCATGTCAGTAAACGCTGAAGGACGAGGAGAGGACGTAACACGATTTAGGGCTACTCACCGGGAAGTCTCTGGCTTTCCCACTGCCGCCCGCCACGGCAAAGGTGAGGATGAAGATTATCAAGGAACAACCACCGGCTATGGCCGCCGCAACAATGAGGTTCCACTTGGCAAACAGTACAGGCTTGTAACGACGGAGATAACCCTGGGCAAAGAAGCCGAACACGAAGTATGCCAAAAGCGAGGAGTTGATGCCGACGGACAGCCAACCGAGCCAAGTGCAGATGATGAAGGTGTTAAAGTAGTTGAGCTTGAGTTGGGGGAAGTACTTGTGGGCTGGAAGTTGCATCTTTTAGTATCATGGACTCGTTGTAAATTATCAGACAGACTGACCGATCCAAAATGGAATTGGGACGAAGATCCCAAAGGACAGGCCCATCGGCACCATCCAGTACGTTCCATGTCGTCCACTGGCATACCTGCTGTCAGCACACATCTTGAACATCCCAACAACACGATCAGGCTGAACTCACAAGATCTCATTGGCCGCACCTCCCCAAGCCACTGCCTGCGAATTGTACGTTTGTACATTCTGACCAGACCAAATGTTGGTGCCTTCAACAGACAGCAGGATCTCACGCTGATTATCCACAATACTGTTCATCATGACCCAGTTGAACACGGAGCCAGCACAAGTCCCTACAACCTGCGCAAGGAAGGTTGCCCTGGGTGGGAGCTTTGCATATTGTGCCAGCTTGAGATCACCCAACATCGTGATAGCTTGCACCAGGCCATTGGACCCATAGAGGGTGAACATCATGTTTGCTACCGGCCTGCGGGGAACCATGTAAGCACCGATCATTTGGACGGCGCTGGTAGGTTGGTAGTAGAATCCAACAATGCCGTACATGCACGCAAAGATGATAGTAAAGATCCAGGCTAGAAGGACAGCAACCAGGAAAGCCCACCAAGGAAGACCGGTTTCTTGCTGGTAACAGCAAACGAGACCAATCAGGATTGAGATGGCGAGGATGCTGAAGTACCAGAAGGATGGCACCTCCTTGTACGCACTCATGGCGGCGTAATGGGGGTCTCCCTCGGTGCCGGGATATCCTTTGCGAGGGGTGTCTGAGTCAGAGGTGAAGCTCTTCCGGAAGGATGACATGGAGTTAAACCGACGGGGCAATGTCCGGAGTTTCTTGATGTTTTGCTTCAAAGCTGAAAGTCGGAAAGGGTTGAAGATAAACTTGATGTCATACCAGTTCCAGAGAAGGACATGTACCACTGCTGCCGTAATTCCCATGTTGAACACCAACAAACACAAAGCTTGACTGGTAGCAAATCTGGGAAGCCCATAGGCGTCCAAAGCCGCTGGATCTACCTCGTTGTTTGGGCCCAAGATCTGTGTTTGATCGTAGACGGTCCCATTGGAAGTGAACAGCGTCTGTGCCATGAATGGGAACTTCTTCGCATCCCACAGGTCGTAGTAGTAAGCCCCCACGGTCAAAGCAATACAACCGATGTAGCCGATGAGCTGGTTGACCAATGTACTCAAAGGGAGAATTAACTCCTTTTCTCCGATGTACTGCCAATCCATGCACCAACTGAGAAAGCCCATGCCCTCGTTTCCATTGGATCCTCCGAACAGGTGGGAAAAGACGGCCGAGTTCTGGTTAGCAAGGCAAAAGATGGAAATTCCGGTGGTGAGAGGAAACATCCATTGGGGCACAATCTCCCAGACCATCACAGTCAAGCAGATGTACCAGAAGATCTTGAGCCGTTTCTTAGCGAGTTCCTTGTTCAAGTGCATTGACTGGAACAGCGCGGCATTGGGAAGTTGTGTTGGCCAGACGAACTTGGTTGGGTAGATGAAGGCTTTGCGTATGCCACCGAGAAGGCCATACCCAATGCATTGCGAAGAGAACAGCATGAAGATGGCCGACGCTGCGTTGGGCTGATGACCGTAGTATAGAGACTGGGCGGCAAGCTGTTCGGTTCCGAGGGCACAGGTGGCGGCGGAGCTGGCCATGATGACAATGAAGACATGCTCCTTCTGTGTGAATGGTCCCGGGTTGAGGAAACGGCCAACGGGGCCCCAGCGAGGGATCAAGACAACAGCCTCCCCCAGACAGTAGGCGAGCATGATCAGAAACACGATGCTCACGAGGACGGTTTGTGGCTTGAAGTAGAAGATCTCAGCGAGAACAGCACCGAAGGCCGACAAGCCTAGCCCTAGAAAGAAGGCCCGGAACGTGTAGATTCTCTCGATCGGGTTATCGGACGTGTCGAGGGTTTTGGTGACCAGCTGTAAAGGAGTGTCGAGTGTGGTATCGGATTCGACGGTGATCTCTGGATGAGTTGCTTGTCAGTCCACGATAAAACCGAGGACATGGACATATCGGCAAGGGGCTTACCTCCAACTTCGGCATCAATGCTGCCATCTTTCGCTGTGGCAGCACCCTTGGTGTCAGCGCCATCGTTAAATGTGGTGGTCGGTCCCGCATATAGGATGTCGTGCTTCTCGTTCGGTTCGCATTCGTCACCGGCTCGCGCGGGCTTGCTTTCCACGTTGCCATCCATGGTCGTGCGCAGTCAAGGAACTTGTTGCGGGTGGCCGAAGGAAACGGAGAAATAGAAGAAGAATTCTAGGAGGGGGTTAAGGACCATATAAGGTTAAGGTGAGCTCAGGGTGGAAAAAATGGACATGGACATGCACATGTCTCGAACATGTCGCAAGTCACAAGTCGCAAGCCGCAAGATAAGACCATGATATCGGGTGCATTCTCGTTCAGGTCGAGCGGGGATGCCTGGAGACAAGATGGGTGGTACAGTTGTCGATAGACGATGCCGGTTGCTGTCTGGTGGTTGTATCTGCCGTTTCAGTCGATGTCCTGGGGGCAATCACCAACGACGCGGGAGCAGGAAGGAGAGAACGGGGAAGCAACGAACGATGGAAACGAAGTTTGCAGGATCAAACTCAGCAGTCGTGCACTGACCTGGAAGGAGCTGCGTATGTTACATGCATCAGGATGAGGTAACCTGTAGGCGCGGTTGGAGAGTACAGGCATTGAATGATACCGGCCGTGAACGGCAGCCGGTGCCGCCATGTCTTAACCTGGCAGGTGTCAACACGGATATGTCCTGGATATATGGTAAAAACAGGAAAGCGGCCGCTCTTGCCCGTTCCTGGCCTGTGATCCGTTATTGCCAGAGTTGCGGCACGGTTGAGATAAGCTTTTGGGCTGTATATCCCTTGTTCTCGCGAGCCAACGAGCTAACCAAAACCAACGATGTTACATTCGCCACCGACCATCTCGCGACACGAAAGGCAGGAGGTGCCAAGTTCAAATTATGTCGGTTCCAGATTGCCGGTAACAGAGCACGATATGGAGATATTGCGTGCGAGGGCTCACTCAGCAACAGTGAGGTTTTCAATATGGAAAGATAGTAGGGGATGTTGTTGTCAAGATTCCTCTCGCTATAGTAATTTGATATGTTGTTGAATCACTCTTGCGACCGTTAGTGTTAATTGCTACGAGTGTTCGGGGGGCAAGCAAGCTGCCCGCCCTTCCTTTAGTAATAAAAGGCTAGGTCGGAAAGATGCGAGATTGGAGAACGGGGATGCACTAATACAAAAACCGTGACAACACGATTCTGGGCATAGGCAGGGCTGGGCCAAAAGAAGTCGATGTGAATAAAAATCAATAAAGCTAAAGAGTAGAAAATGGGAGGTGGCCGAAGGCCGGCGAACGAGGTACGCCTTAAAATAGGGTGCGGGAGTTCTTCTGAGCCTAACTGCCTAAAAGCCGCCTTAGATGCAGCCAGCCACGACACTAGTGCTATGACAAGACCGTAACATACTACTCTATTACTCTATTATTCTATTCCAGCGATAATACTCTGGTGCTTATAACGGTTCGTCACATACTCATGCGTAGCTTGAGGAATTTAACCTCAAATCAACCTTTCAGACGTTTTTCATCGGATGTCTAGCGGACTATTATCCTCAACCTTCTTTCGAATCTTGAACAGCATATGGTAAACTTTCTCCACATGTCAAGTCGCTCCTAAACCTACTCGAGCTCGAAGATATTGACAAACGCCTTATACCGCATTTCATACGGGTGTTTTCCTATGCTGGGAAGTACAACATCAAAACTGGTCGATTTGAAAGGGCACGCATTTTGTTGGAAGCAGCACTTAGGATGGCAGAACAAGCATATTGTCCGGGACACTCGGCGACCGTCCTTATAATTTCTGACCTACAATAGTTGAGAATGTATTACCACAAGGATCACCCATTTCAGAACAAAATCGCGGATGCTACTACGCGGTTATACACAAGGTTACTTGGCATATTGATGGATGCTGCCAATAACATCGCCGCACTTAAAAGCTACAGTCTCTCTATCCAAAAGACTTTTCAGAATCTAGCAAACCTAACGTGCGAAGAGGAAAAGACGCTATCATTATATGATGAACTGAAGGCACTGGGACCGGAGGTTTTCAATGACAACGCTAGTCGCATTGTGCACTTCACTCTCAACGCACCTCCCTTCACCTCCGACATGCTACTATTTTTGGGTATAGTTACCAAAGTCTTTGGCTTTGACGACAGATGTGCGGAACAAGAGGCCATATATCGTGCTTTTGTAGCTCGTCGCACTCGTTTTCCTGATGAAGAAGAGCAAAAGCATAGTTCCGGCTCACAAAATACGCTTTGGCTTTTCATTTACGAGGCTATGGCAGGACAAGGGAAGGATCGGGAGATAACGGACCTGCTAGGGCCCAGGCGAACAACATTAAACCTGGAAGGTTTCAATATTTTCAACCAAGTGGAAGGTTATGGTCTCCTAAGAGCTTTACTAGCAGAACAAGAAAGGTTGGAAGTGGCTGAAGAAATCTACCAAAAGCTCCTTGAGACAGTCTCAAGGAGCTTGGCTCTCGCCATCCTAACGCGTTAAAGGTGCGAGGGCGGATTGCTACGATCCTTGCGCGGCGAGACAAGCACATGGAAGCGGCAGTCCAGTTATGACAAGGGCTGTATTTAAGGCTTGGAACAGTAGTTCAATTC